CAAACTTCAAAGTTTAGTAGTGTGTAAAAACGCGAAAACGCTGTAATAGTAAAAACATGAATTCTAATAAATTTATTGTAAATAACTTGCATCTGGATATGTCAAGGACTTAAATATTTTTTCAACATTTTTTCAATATTTTTTAAGGTAACTATCTATGACGACAACGATTGGATCACCACGATTGGATCATCGTAAAAACAGTTGATTGATATGTTGATTTTAATCAAATCAATATTATATTAATGACGGTTTTGCCAACAAACTGTTAATTTAATTTAGATATTTCTTTAACTTTAAACTGTGGCAGAGCCACGCAACAGATTTGGTTGTTGCACGAATAGACAGGTCCGTCCGTATAAGTACCCAATCTTACAGTAGACCAGAGTAAAGTTGCAAGTGTCATACTGCTGATTTTCGCCTGATGAATGAGATAGCCGGGAAACACTTTATTTAAAGGTGGCAAGTCATCTGCATTAACATCCTACAAGTTGCAATTGTCCATAGGCAGCGGTTATCACTTTACATCAGCCGGATGCTAGCCTACTAGCCAGCTCGCTTGCTACTTCTCACATAAAAAAATATTACACAAAAGTTTCATCTTAAATATGTACCGACCGCTGAAACAACTACGATGCCCACTTAGAACGAGATGATAAAGAGTAAAAGAGACGACCCGAATGGCGTAGTGGGTAGTGTACCTGCCTCCTGCGCCAGAGGGTGTGGGTTCGATCCCCACTACTGGAAAAATATTGTGTAATGAACATGGTGTTTTTCTAGTGTCTGGGTGTTTCTATATGTATAATATGTATTTATTTACAAAAGAAAAGTATGTTTAAGTATGTTTATCAGTTTTCTAGTATCCATAATACAAGGTTTGCTTAGTTTGGGACTAGAAAATGTTGTGTAAATATGTGTCCTAAAAAAAAAAATGTGTGCGTGTACTAGCGTACACTCGTAAGAAGTGAAACTTTTTTATGACGTTATTTTTCAAAAAATAATTTACTATACGCAACTTTACCGAAATTGGTTAAATAAAGTTAAATTAGATAAAGTTTAATAAAAGGCTTTTATTATCATAGACATAAATACAAATTCTACAATTATTTCATTTTAGCTTTGTATAATATTTAGTTTCTTATTTGTAATACATAGGTGGCGTTAGTAATAAATTAAAACACACTATGGTTTGACCGTTATAATTAGTATGAGGGTCCGCAAAAATTGTTGATTAAAAAACTTGCAACGTGAACCTTGTTTATTTCAATTAACCTCACGGACCCAAAATGCAACCGCTTTGAATTTGTACATGGTCATTCGTTGCCGAATAGTCAGCCAGTGAGTAGAAGGCAAACATTCGACTCGCGCGCGAGTTTTGTGAGTGAAGTCTTTTTGGAAAACCGAACTTGCGGACGTTGGATCGACGTCGCAACCGCAAGTTCCAGGAGCCGATTGAGGTTTCGAAGAGCATCATCGGTCAGCTTCAGATTGTGTCTTCGGTGGAAGGCGCAGTCAGGTCACGGTGGGCGGTGCCTGCCTTTGGAGAAGAGGAAGTCGACTACAGTGTCGTGCTCTGAAGTATTAGAGCTAGCACTGTCATTACTACAAATATTATTATTGAATTTCATTAATTGTAATAGAATTATTACTATCATTGATGTCGTTATTATATATTTGTGTTATTAATGGCTTATGGTAACTGAAATACGAAATATATTGTTTACATTTTAGAATTAGAATTAAAATAAACCCTTTGATTTTGCTGATCACTTTAATATAACACATATATATTGCTATGAACACACAAAGTAACTAACGCCATATAGCGTCAACTATTAAAACCACTAAAGAATAAAGACGACATAAAACCCCCTATTCAACTCTAGATGGCGTTAGAGGAACAATTTAAGATAAAAAAAGATGGCGCGTAACGGAAAAATGTTACACTAAATTTTTTTCCAACCCCGATAAAGAAGTTTCACTTCAAAAAAAAAAAAAAATAAAGACAAATTGAGAAATATTTAAAGTTTACTGATGATATTTGTTGATGATTGCTGATGATTGATTTGTAATAGAAACCCATGTCATTTGAAACGTTAAATTAATATATATATTTAATATTTCAAAAGTCGCTTCTAAATTGGATTCCATGTCCTCAAAAAGAATAAATGTTTTTCGTGCGCATTAAGAAATAAGCGTTTCTTAATATTCCTTTTTCACTTCCACCACCTTTTTGCAAAAATAAATCTGATTAATAAGTAAAATTTTTAAATCATATTATTACAAACAAAGAAAACCCTTTCAATTTACAACATTTTTAACTTTATCACTTTTATATTTTTTTTTTTTTTTTTTTTTAAAAACATTGCCCTCACTTTAGGATAATATTATCCTGTGTTGTAAGGACGTTTTACAAACATAAATTACACGAGGACAAACACCCAGATGCGAAACAACTATCTGTGGGTCGCACAAATATTTGTCCCGTGTGGGAATCGAACCCACGACCCCCGACGCCGAAGCCAATAACTTGGCAAATGCGCCACGGAGTCATAGTGATTCAGCATTTTCAGTGACGAATAACGTGTTTGTATCATCTGTGCATAGTAAACCTTTACTAGCGATCTTATGACTTACGTTCAAAGAAATCTGTATCTTTAAAGTTTAGTTGTTATGATGCTTTTTCTGTTTGCCCACAGAAATTTTGCTACTTATAGCAAATAAGTTTTTTCCCATGGATTTGTCCCTTATCACATATGTCACTTATCTAACGAAGGACGTAAACAAATTTTTATTATAACATTCTCTTGAGAAGAGCGGATTCCCACACAAGCTCAAATCGCCTATTTCAACTCATCCGAGGTTTACTTTCTTTTAATCACACAAAAAAGTATGAATTGAATATGTATTAGATGTTTCCATTCAAATCACGTTATTACAATTTCGTACCTTCGTTACCTTTGTGTCATTTTTTTTATTTTATTCCATAAAAATGATCCTTTTAGATGCTTTTAGATTCAGATTGAAATTTATACTGGGAAAAGTATTTATTGTATTTATTAAAGCGTTTCTATGGGAATTTTAATTTGCCTGAAAAGCTAAACATGTGGAAATAGACTTCAATTTTTTCTGAAAATTCGGGCTCAATTTTGTTGTAAACTACAGATATTAAAAGCGGGCTGGCAAAAGTTTGCGCTTTACTTGAATTGCACGACAAACTCAATTTGTAAGATTGTCCAATTTTCGGTAAGGAATAATTTCACGTTTGTCGTTTAAGTATTCTTTTGGACCTGATGACTTTTGCAGTGATTTTGATAAGTAGACTTTTTTTTTACCATAATGATAGCTATTATTGATTTAAGTTATTTTTGTTCTAAGTTATTTGCTTAGCTTAATTTGTAAATCATCCGAGTGCGTCAGCCAGATTTAAGCAGGTTAGATCCCAGCAGAGCTAAAAGTTTTAATTCATTTATCGACAAACATTCACAGTTTTAACTTGAGTGCATATACTAAAACGAAAGTTTACCTAAAAATATTACATTCGTTTGTTACTTCGAAGAGCCGTGATAGTTCATTGTCCGGGCGATCGTTTTTAATTCAATATACTTACTCGAGCAACCCGAGTTGAATCCCTAAAAATATTATATTCGTTATTTAAAATATGTATTTTTCAACTTAAAAATAGGTACTAAGAGTTTTATATGATTTATGTTAATTGCTCCTTTTATTTGGAGTTTTTACGTAAATAAATCATCGCTTAGCTTAGCCTGCCCCGTGAACTTACTTACACGTAAATTGATTTAAGAAAAAAAAGCTGTGAAAATAGTTTTTGTTTATAATTAATTTAATATAATTTTCGTAGTCCAAGCAATTATCACATCATATTTTTATATCATCGTGTGCATCGCTATTTAAATTAACGTAATTTTTTTTTGTTTAATTCACTACAAAATATAAATTCTTACTTTTAGAAATTCATGTTGTCGATATTTTAAAACTGTACTATTACAAACTAATATGTTGGAGCAATGCCAAATGTGATCCGGAAATGGACTTCAAATTTGATTGGACAAGTCTGCAATGCAAGCATATATTATATCGTATAATTTTCGTATCTCGTCAACATACAGACTACAGATATTTAAAAACAATTTTTATCATATATACACTACTAACCTATTCTCTAAACTTGGAATCGTTTTTTTAAACAGAAAAACATTCCACATACGTTATGGTCACGTATTATGTATTACATACATAATATTGTTTAATAATTCCAGGGAATGTTAATGTTTACTTCAGTTATTTGTTACAACAAAATCCCAGTTAATGTGCAAAGCCTATCTATTAACAGGTTTGAGAAATTTATTAAACAAAAACTTTTTAAAAAGGGTTATTACAATGTAAAAGAGTACATTAAAGATAATAACCCCTGGGAATGAGATGATCGGTCCTAAGCTGTTTCTAAATAAAAAAATGTACTGTGTAACAATGTATTTATGTTTGAAAAAAAAAATGACAAAAAAGAGGATGCCTACGGGGCTTCTTTCGCCTGTTTCTTCTCCGTTAGAGGAACCTCATTACGAAACGGATTATATTAGTCGGATTAGATTAAAAAATTACTATCGATGGATGAAATATATATTTCTTATTTCGATGAATAAATAATGATTTGCTTTGATTTTGATTTGATTTGTTACTGTTTACTATACTTAATTATCAAATTATAGTCACATAGTGTTTGTATAGCGATATAAAATATTATAAGTGCACAGTAGGAGACAGTACAATTTATATGAAGCTTCAATTTGGAAATGTCAAAATTTTAATCTAATATATTACATATAAGTAACAAAAACAATGTAATTACTATTTTGTAAAATTCATAAAATTAAGATATGTCATTATGTTCTTAATGTGCTATCAAGATTATTAGTATTTGACCTCTATTAGAACTTTATCCGTAAGTTTCATTGACCGGTCTCATTGTTTTGTTTCAGGTAGCACCGAACATAATAGAGTTCATCAAATCACCAGTCAACATAATAGACTTTATAGCAACGCTAAGCTTTTACATGGACGTGGTTGTTGAGTTAACTGTGGTGAAGAGGAACATTGACAAAGCAGATATTTTGGAGTTCATTTCGATCATCAAGATCCTTAGGCTGTTTAAGCTAACTCGGCACAGTCCCGGCCTGAAGATATTGGTACACACCTTCAAAGCCTCCGCCAAGGAGTTGACACTGTTGGTTTTTTTTCTTGTGCTAGGTATTGTGATCTTCGCGAGTTTAGTGTATTACGCGGAAAAATCACAGGTGAGACATTTTCAATAATTTTAACTTATCCATAACATTATGACGACCCGAATGGCGTAGTGGTTAGTGTACCTGCCTCTTGCGCCAGAGGGTGTGGGTTCGATCCCCACTACTGAAAAACTATTGTGTGATGAACATAGTGTTTTTCTAGTGTCTGGGTGTTTATATATCTATAATATGTATTTATTTACAAAAGAAAAGTATGTTTAAATATATTTATCAGTTTTCTAGTACTAATAGTACAAGCGTTGCTTAGTTTAGGACTAGAAAATGTTGTGTAAAAATGTGTCCAAAAAAAAATTATCCGACTATTCAACCATTGATGCAAAGATTGATTTTGTAATTTGAGTTAACTAAGATATTGAATATTTTAATCCTATGATTCCTACCTTTTATTATATAATAATATACCATTTTCTGAACTGATGTTCATTATTTTCCTAAAGAGGAAGAACATACTTTTATGTGACGAAGTGGCAAACGAGGTGGCGGTTCACCTTAAGTTAAGTCATAACCACCGTGCATGGATATTTGCAACACCCGTACGGTTGCAGGGTTTTGCCAGATTTAACTAAAGTGGGCCCCGGCTGGTGAGATCACCAGACGAAACGCAGAAATGCTTGGCCCTACCATATTTTTTTTAATATACTTACGTGAAGTGAAATTTTTAAACAATATTTTATCTCTACACTCACTAAGTTCCTCGATCTCTAACGGGCTCGCAAATTTAATATTACACTTTCCATGTCACTGAGGGAACATAAATTTAACTTATCTCGCATATCAGGAAGTATAGATATCTCCGTAGTGTGAAATTTAGAGCAAATTGACACATTCACATTGGCTATTACTATTGTTAGTGCGTTTAAACGTTTTATTAAAATAGAACTGTAGTTTTTTAAGGGAAATTGTACGCTGTGGCGAAGCGTAGTCAGTTAGCCGTCAATTACGGTCTCACAAAAACCTTCGTGTAGCCAAAATGGAACTCGAACGCACTGCGAACGCTAGTTTTATTTATTTTATTAATTTCTGGTTGTAAAGTTTACTTTTCAAGTTAATAAAAAAAGTGAGTAATTTCAATCATCATAAATCAATTTTGTACTGATTTCAATATTTACTGAATTCTGTACATAACGGTTTTAATTTACCTGTACCTTTCGGGCAACCGGTGGATGCAAATGGCAAAGTGTTATGATGCTCTAAGGGGGAGGCCTTTGTTCAACAGTGGACGTCTTACGGCTGATGATGATGATGATGATGATGACCTACTTGAAAAGATTGAATGGAAGGCAGGAAATGTTAGTGAAGTAGATTTTTTTATTCTTTTGTGTTTTGCCGTGTTTAAGTGAGAGACAAGGCTCAGGGTCTTTATAATGCAGATATTGGAGGTATCAAAAACGAAGATTTTTTTTAATGTGACAAAGTGGCAAACGAACTGGCGGTTCAAGTGATTTTAAATGATAACCGCCGCCCGTGGACATTTGCAACACCACTTTAAATAAGTAGACCCGGCTACCTCACTCACCAGACGAAACGCAGAAGTGTAACACATCCACTTGACGCTGGTCATCTGCGAGCTCGCTGTACTTGCCCGGACGGACCTGCCCATGCGTACAACAGCGAACACCATAGCGTGGCCCTGCCACAGTTAAACGGAGTTTTTTCACCTCTCTTAAATATTGATGATAAATGCAACTGCTTCAGGATAACCCGGAGAATCAGTTTAAGTCCATCCCGCTGGGGCTGTGGTGGGCAATCGTCACGATGACCACCGTGGGCTACGGCGACATGGCGCCGAAGACCTACCTGGGCATGTTTGTTGGCGCGCTCTGCGCACTGGCTGGTGTGCTGACCATAGCGTTGCCTGTTCCCGTGATCGTCTCCAACTTCTCAATGTTCTACTCACACACACAGGTGAGCAAAAAAACACAGAAACGTATTGGTCTCCACTTACACATATTTAAGATAGACGGAGGTAGCCAATAATGTCAAAGTTTTACCTTGCCAATTTAAATCTGACTAAATGTGAGATAGTGATTCTTTCATCCATATAATCAGAAAAACGGAAACCAGGATCGGAAGCCACCTTTGGGTTTGCAGTGCTGAATTTACAGATTAAGCCATGTATGATGGCACAAAGCGAAAATGATCTTTAATAAGAATGGGATCGCAGTTATCTAAGTTTCTGAATTGATTAACATCGAATTTAAAAGTAAAAAAAATCCCACGAAAAATAGCTGACCATGCCCCAACGACTCGATCATAATTTAATAACTTGAGGTGCTGAATAACGTGTCCTGTTTAATATTCGTTAAGATTAATAATTTTTTTTTTTTTATTATTTAATTCTACTCTTTTGAAAAGACGTCTGATAGACAGAATAGGAAAGTAACTCGGCAAATATCCATTTGTTATGTTGCTTTCCTTAACAGGTAATTTTATGCGTGTACCATTAAAATTTATGTACGTTTTTAGGATTCCGTACCAAAAGGTTTATTCTTTGAGTACGGACCCTAATACTAAGCCTCGCTGTCTGTCTGTCTGTCCGTCTATCATCAAACTGTATCTCTTGCATCGTAATAGTTAGACAGTTGAAATTTTCACAAATGATGTATTTCTGTTACCGCTATGACAACTAATACTAAAAAAAATAGAATAAAAAATATTTAAGTGGGGTTCCCATTGAACAGACATGATATTTTTTCCGTTTGTATAGATAATGGTACGGAACCCTTCGTGCGCGAGTTCGACACGCACTTGGCCGGTTTTTTCAGCTCGCAATTGTTATTTATTTGCCTGTTCGTCCAAAACATAACTTTCAAGTAATTACGTTAAGCATTAAATGAAGGAATTTGATGTACTAATTGTTGCAAGTATCAAGCATAGCTAACGATAAACAATACAATTGTTGCTTTAATAAGTGTATTTTGAAGCAAAACATGGATATATTAAAATTCACAGTAGTATATAAAATAAAAATTGTTGTAAAATATTGTTCTTTGTTTGTTCATAAATATACGATAAATTAGATATTTTTATAAATCTTATAATACGATACCTAATTGCGATTAGAGTCCACTTGAGTAAAATAAGGTATTATATTATCTTATTTCTTTTACTTATTCAATATCCCGTTTTTTTATGTGAAAAGTTACCAAGCGAGCAGACAGTTCATCTGATGTTAAGTGAATATATACCGCCGCCCATAGGCATCTGCTACACCTGAGGGTCGCAGATGCGTTGACAATCTTTTGAGAATTGGGCTCCGGCCACCTCACTCACCAGACGAAACGCGAAAGTATTATACTGTACGGTTTCACGTTACACCAACTGTTCTCATGTTTTAAGCATAATAATATGTTCATCAATTTGCTCGAAACAAACTAAATGTAACTTTCCGTTCAGTACATCATTAGTAAGGTAAGCACTGTCCGCGCCTCCGTATTTTACACTATTAAGAAGTAATTGAACATTATTAAACTAAATGATCCGTACTAAATGTCCTTCAGATTTATTAAGTGTAGGGATTACTTCGAGTCCTTCATATTTTTAATATGAACCTAAAAGTAAAATAATGACCTATGTTTATATGTTCTACTGCTGGCAAAGGCCTCTTCTGTATGTAGAGGGTATTGAGTAACTGTAAGACATAATCTACCAAGAGTGATAAGCGGATTAGCGGACTTCACATATCCTCGAAATACTTTTTTTTACTATTATTTCGAAAATATGCATTCATTGAGCACGTAATAAGCCAGTACTTAAAATTAACTATTTCATTGTTGCCGACACCGCGATTCGACTAAGGATAAAACTCAGGTTTCTCGAGAATATTGAATAAAATCGAGCGCCCGGACACAAGTATCACGGCTTAATATCACCGTAATATTAATAAATAATATCCATCTCAAAAAGCCTCATTTGACCATAACATTTTCTATACTGGACGGTTTAAAGCTGGTGATGTGATTTATATTTCAGCTCCCTTCACCCCTTTGTAGCCTCAATACTTAAGCTATAGAATATATATCGCTATCAATCATTTGGTAAACACCTTCGGAAATTTATCTTCGTGACTTGCATATTCTATTAAAGGAAAAGACCTCGCCTTCAATAATGCTATCCGCTCTAAATTCAACCAATAAATTAGAACGTTAGAAAGCCCGACATCAATTTGTCACGTTGATGTTACACGTTCTTAATTTGGATAGACATCGGGTTAATTGCGCCATGAATTATTTGCCTTGTTGCCTTTGTGACGTAATCTTTACATAGTGTAAAACAAAATCCCTCCCGATGTTTGTACTCTTAAATCTTTTAAACTGCGCAACGGAATTCAATCAGTTTTCAGCAATAGATAAGAGTGATTGAAGAGGAAAGTTTATAGTAGTATACAGGCATATTGTAGAAGCATAAAGTCAAGATGTTATAGATTTGTAATGTTATGTAGTAACAAAAATATTTTTGTGCGCTTACATTGCAAGCGTTGGCTAAACCTTACGAGAGAGATCAAATTAGTGTACTACGGAATTGTGTATCTTAAAAAGATGTTTGCACTCTCTCAGGAAAAAAAAAACAGCTGTAAATATTGTATATAAAAGTATCTTGTAGTAAATACTAATCATAATATTATTAATCACTTCACACTGTATCAGCTAGTATCAGTATAAAATGAAATAATAAATACAATACAGGCTAACACATTTTGTAATTATTGCTGTAATATACAACTCTCATTGCTCATGGATGGTGAGGTTTATGGACATTAAAGATAAAAGTGGCGAATTGTTGCTTCTATAAACAATTCTGTTTCATTTATAATTTAAAGAATAATCAATTAATATCTTAAAATTTTAAGGTTTCTTACTATAGTAATAACCTTTTATTTTAGACCACGTGTCTACGTCGTAATATTTGGCAAATGTTATTTTTCATGATCTATGTAAAAAGGCATCCATTAGTCCAAGATTTTAGAAGTGAATAATAAAGTGCAACGAAGATTTTGAGGCGTCATCCATTATCCCCAACCCTAACTGCTAAGTGAAATCACCGCCGAAATCAACATGATTCGATCATTGACGACCCGAATGGCGTAGTGGGTAGTGTACCTTCCTTCTGCGTCAGAGGATGTGGGTTCAATCCCCACTACTGGAAAAATATTGAACATGGTTTTGAACAGTGATTTTCTATTGTGTTTCTGAACAGTGTTTTTATAGTGTTTTTCTAGTGTTTGGGTGTTTATATGTGTATAATGTTATATGTACTTATTTACGAAGAAAGTTATGTTTATCAGATATCTATTACCCATAGAACAAGCGTTGCTTAGTTTGGGACAAAAGCACGTTGTATAAAAATGTGTCCTAATATATTTATTTATTATTATTCAAATCTTCTTCATCTAATAATCCCTCTATAACTTGCGACGATGGTCGTTTTTAAAATATAGCAACTTCAGACAAATGAAGATTTTGAATTTATTCTATTTGCATCCGTTTACCTTAAATTTAAATCAACAGCGGCGTCGAACAAAAGGTCACATGATTCATTTTAGATGAGCCGAAGTTAAAATACTAAACTGAAATACTGCTGTAAGTAGAAATAACTCTGAAAGCTGTTTGACCTAAATACTATGTTAGACCAGACGTTTAAAAGGTCGATTGGCTAGCCTCTATTATAACTGAAAGCTATCGGTAGGCGGCCTAAATTCAGGCATTTTTAACATGATTATTTTTGCATGAATAGTATGTGCAATGTAAGTGAAAACTGTGTTAATGTACAGATTTAATGGTCTTCGTTTAATGAATTTAAATATAGATTTGCGGTGTATTGATTGTTTTTTTTTTGTATTCATTAAAAGTCTATACTGGTATAAACATAAGTGTTTTTAAAGCAGAGAAATAGATTAATTCGTGCGAAACTTCACCATATTTACTGTACCTTGAGGTAACGTGTACTGCACACGTTATCTTACGTATATGGTGGAATTATTTTAAAAGTTCACAAGGGACATTTTACTATTAAATTTAACAGTTTGGGTACATCTGGATCAGATATTATATATACTGAAATACCGAATGCAAATACAGTACTAATAATTTAGCCGATATTATCTTGAGTAATGTGACTGTGTAGTCGTATTGTGGACACACGAATTTGTGGAATACTATTCTTTAAAAATGGGAATACTTTTTCCATTCTGTTAAGTTACAAAAAGACCGAGCTCCAGCAATTAATGATGTACTGCTGATGTCTTTCACAGATAACGCTATGTAAAAATTAGAAATTAACAAGAAATAAACAAGGACACCACACAGATAACGCTATTTAATTAATACGCCCGTCGAATTTCTAAGTTCACTGAAGCTACCAGGACTTCTGTAATTCTGCACTCCAGTTATGTTGCTGAAAGTGGAAAGCCTTTATTCTGTGCCAAACTGGTAGTCAAAGGGTTAAAATTTCTAGAAAAATTGGCGAAAAGTTATTAGCCACTGCGGCAATCGACGTCTTTGGGATTCACGCTTAGACGCTTAAACCACTGAGCTAAACGTCTGATCGCCACATCAAATTCTCAAAGTATTTTATATACTTACAAAGTATTTTTTTCATTCATCAAGTCATTTTAGCAATTCTTTGCGCATTTAAAACGCTTAAAGCGGCTGGGTGTGAATCTAAAAGATTCGATTCCCGCATCCCTCAATGTTTCATCAAAAGAAAAAAATTAAATTTCGAATACCAATCTCTCGTTTGAATTATCGTTTTAAAACCATATTTGAAATTGTTTGTATGCTGTTAAGGACATGACAATATACTGCAATTTAAACGATTACAATATTCCATCTAAGTTTAGATATAAACAAATCTCAGGGACAGACACCTAAATTTTCAGGAAAATACTTGGAGACAACTGATTCTCA